ACGAAGAAGAAAAGGAAGAGGAATAAGCAGTAATAGTAATAAAGATAGTAGCTGTATAGCAAAAGTAGAAGAAGTAGCGGCAATAGTACTAGCATTGATGGTGGTGGTAGAAGAATCAGAAGTAACAGAGGATATATAACTAATCATAATGACAATACGAATAGTATTAATAATAATAGTAGTAACAACAGCAACAACAGTAGTACTAGCAGTAGTAGCAGAGTTTACATAAATAGTGTATGCAATAGTATTGGTAGCAGTAGTGATAATAGCAATGGCAGTATTAGCAGGGGCAATTTCAGCGGTAATAGGAGTAAAAACCGTAGTAGTAGAGGCTGTAGACATAGTATCAGTAGTAATAGAAGAGAAAGTAGTGGTGTTAGTAGTTGTTGTTGTACCAATGTAATAAATAGTATTAATATCAGTAGTATTTGTAATAGTAATAATAGTAACATTTGTTAGTGTTGCAATTTCTGTACACTTAGGAGTAACTAAGCGTAGGCTACAACTTACTAGAGCCAACGCTGATCTGGAACAGCATTCTAACGCATCGCCTGAATCGGCTACACTCGCCGAGGTGACGCGGTTTCCGCCAAGTGAAGCGCACGATCATGTGACTACTCCATGAACTGACGCCCTGCCAAAGCATACCTCGGCGTCCGCCACCATCTCCGTTCTGGCCGAACAACTGCGATGTCATGGTAACATTGTTGATGTGTCGTGGTGGTGACTGGAACTTGTCGTCGGTGGCTTTCACGACTGGCCAAAAGGCGAGCTGTTTGCCGGTTGCCATGTCGAGCAGTTCAAGAGCGCCACTCGCCTGTGGATCCTGAACAATCTCGAGCAAAGAGATTGTGATCACTTGATTGCTTCTGTCGGCACCGATGCTCTTCAGGAGGGCAAATCAAAACGCAGAGTTAGTCTTTTACGAGTAAAATGGATTGTATGATACACAATATGCTTTTTATGCATGTTACAAAATGAGTAAAAAGGACCTTTAACGCTGTAGACCAACGATTGGATGTCTGTTAAGCTGAGAAATCGAGAACATACGTTTGGGTAGACCTTGAGTTCTGAATAGCTACCCTTTACAAATTGTACCGTTTCACCCGAAAAACTATGTACACTACCTTCCAAGGCCTGGAGGAGCTTGAGCCACTGGAATGGCTCCGTCCAAAACTGGCATTTCGACCCGGCCCCACCATCTTCAGATAGAACTAGTTTATGTGGATTGCAACCAACGAAGCTGATTCTAACTTAAGCCTCCATAACGACTGAAAGAATGCCTCGAGAAAGTTCACAAGTACTAGTAGTATAGTAGTAGTAGTAGCTTTTGTG